ATGTGTTAGTCAGTTAAAAATTATATAAACTATATTTACACTTATAACATTCTAAAGTTATTATATATATACATGTTGACACTGATTTTGACATTGATGAATTTGGGAATTTTCCTAGTACAAAATACCTGACTAGGTTTTTATTGATTCAGTATTTTTTTTCTTTTACAATTTATATATACAGTATATCAGAAGGGGTACAGTATAAACTAAGTATTATGCAATAAAATCTACTTCATTATGAAGTAGTAACCTTTTATTTTTGTTTTCTGTAGTACTATATTATGAAAATTAGCATATAGAGATGAATAATTAACTTGATCATTTCTTGTCTAAAATTTCAATTGACGCCAAAGTATTTGTTAAATTTTATGAGAACCATAATATAATGGGTATTTTTTTATTGTAAAGAAGAAAACTCCACTATGTCTATATTTACTTTTTTTTATTATAAACATATTATAAAACGTTCTACAATAAGTGTAAGGTTATATTCCTATATCATTTCGTTGAATTAATTATCTTTAATGAATTGCTTAATTGAATCACTTTATACATAGGTCCCAGTAAAATAATTGAATAGTCTATAGTGTATATGACTAGGATTAGTATTTTGAAGTTATTAATTTAAAATGACCAATTTTGATGAATGTCAATCGTTTAATTGTTTTATGCTTTATTAATTATTATTTAACTTTAGTTTCTCATCAAACAAGAGAAAACTTTCAGTATAAATATCAAGACTGTCTAGATAAATCTATAAGAATATTAATAAATATAATGAAAGTAGTGTTAATATCTATAACTTTGACTTTATTATGTGTGGATTGGTTGGATACCGGTTCAGTGGTCTAGTGGTTAAACGCTCTCGCGAGAGACTGATAGGTCCTGAGTTCGAATCTCACGAGGGGCAGGATCGTGGGTTCGCACTGCTGAGGAGTCCCATACTAGCACGAAACGGCCGTCCAGTGCTTCCAGGTTTTCCATGGTGGTTAGCTTCTATTGACTCACGATTTCAACGATGGAAATTTATTAAGTGTAGCAGAACAAATGAATGTTTCTGAATGTATCTGTCTCTTCTAAATAGTTTTTTTATATATTAATAGTGTTCTTTTACAAAAAAACGTTGATCATTCAACTTCAAATGATTGAATTTCCAGCGGTGTAGTGACTATGCTGTTTACAGAACTTTCCAGATTGTATGATGTTAATTCTTACGTGTTTTGAGATATTTTTCACCACGACTTGAAGGAACACGGAAATCTAAAAAGCTCTTAATAGTCTATGTTTAAGATTTTAATTCATCGGTGGTGCTTAACAGATATAAATACCATTTTTGTACCTTTTAACAACTACCCGATGAAAGGATTTCCTGTAGTTCTATTGGTAAATTATCAACTACCATATAAAACGCACAGCAAAGTGGTAACTTACCGATACATATGGGCGCAAATCATCTTATTACTTATTTAAACCTTTTACTTCTGTCTTGAATAGCCCTTTTCAGTTGTTTTCAGTTGTTACTTATTCTCGTGATACCTGCTTCCAATTTCCGGCGTAATGTGTTCCCTATTCTTCCTCTTTTCCGTTTCCCTTCAAAATTCTAAGTTAGCTCTTGCTTCATGATACAGTCTGATGATTTCCATGATATATGTCCTATACACTCCAAGAGTCTGTCCCTAAATTTATCCTCGGGTGGAAGCTGGTTTGTTTTTTCTCATAGTAGTTGTTGCTGATAACATTCGGCTGACGGACATTGAGTATCTTAAGTAGACAACTATTTATAAATACGTGTACTTTTTTATGGGGGTTGTCGTAGTTTTTCAAGTTTTAGCTCCATACAGTAGAACTGTCTTACGTTCATATTGAAGAATCGAACTTTGATGTTGGTTGACAGTAGTTTTGAGTTGCATATGTTCTTCAATTGTAGGGATGCTGCCCTTACTTTTTCAATACTTGCCCTCACGTCTGCATCACATCGCACTTGTTCTTCAATGGTGCTGCCAAGGTACGTGAAAGGTTCCACCTATTCCAGAGTTTCGCCACCAAGTGTGATTGGGTTAATGTTTTCTTTGTTGTATTTGAGGATCATCCTATTTCCTTTGTGTACGTTGAGGCCTACTGATGCAGAGGCTGTTGCTACAGTGGTCGTTTTCATGTGTATGGGATAGAAGGTCCAGGCGATCTGCGAAGTCCAAATCGTCCAGTTGCATCCAACCTATCTTATAGTGATTTGAAATCAAATTTTCAAAATGGAGCATTATTATTATTATCTTAGACTACGTCATAAAGTACCGCTTAAATTTATGCTAAATCGATTATTTATGTAAACTTTAATAGTCGTAGATTTGGTAAATAAAATTCAACATAAAAGTTTTTGTCAGCTTTTGTTTAAAACATTGAGCTTTTATGAATTTTAATCAGTTGTGATACATATTGAGCATGTGAATTATGTTCTTCATTTCCATTTATTTTGTTACCTAACTGCAAATAAAAATGCAGATAGTTTAAATTCTATTTAACTACGATGCCACAGTTCATAATTAAAATAAACTTCGATGGTCTTCAACTGAGTTTCACTGTTTTGATTTAGCAATTGACTGATTTCAGTGGACTCACATTTAGCAACATCTATCATAAGATGATAATTCACTTGTACCTCAATTATGGAAACGTGACCCTAGACATGTATGACATATGTATTGTTATAAAGAAAAATGTCATAGAAAATAAACTCTAACAGGTATTTTGATAAGAAAACCTCCACTCCCTATAACTTGCTGTATTATTTGATGGTTCATTTATATAGAGAAATGACCTCTTTTAAAGACCATACTTTACAAAATTAAATACTTCAACATATTTTAGCCAGTCTCAGTTATTTATTTCCAGATTTGAAAGTCAATAAGAGAGCTTTCAAAAATAATCACCTCTGTTAGTTTCGATGCAATTACTATGACTACATGAATGAGAGATTGTAGTGATAGTTAAAAAAAATTACTATCATTGTAAATTGTTTAAAAAACGGCAATTGAATAAAAACAATTCTATTGTGCACTACATTAACATTATCTATTAAGACCGTTAGCACATCGCTTGTTTTGACATCGGCGCTGACATTCTCCTAAATTTTTGGTGATAGATCTCTAGAAACCAAAACTCCTTCCAAAATAATTGTTTCTTACTAGGTCATTACACATTGTCATAACACACTGTATACCCGGTTCGCATTCTCGTTAAAAGATTCATAGAATATTTATAGATGAAGCTAACATATACCCGTAGAAACAACTCGTAATTAAATCATTTATTTCTAAATTTCATTCTTTTCGTTAGCACTACATTTTATATGCCAGGATTGTTTGCTAATAGTACCAGTATTTTCACTTTATCGCCTTTCACATTGACCTTCATCACCAAGGCCGATGCGAAGTGTGTTAATTTAGACCCAATTATTTTTCAATGGTTGAAATCATGAGTCAATAGAAGCTAGACCACCATGGAAAACCTGGAAGCACTGGACGGCCGTTTCGTCCTGGTATGGGACTCCTCAGCAGTGTGCATCCACGATCTCGCACCCCGCGGGAATAACATCCCAAAGATAATTTCACGTTAATATTTGTGACATATTTCTGACCATTTTTCAACGAGTACAGTCACCTTAAAACCTGGTACAGGTGAAGTAGATAAATTAGATTTATAACAACTTATTGATTAGTTTATCGTCGATTTTAAACAACCTTAGTGGTTCACTTAAAAAGTAAGGATCAGTTTAGGAAAACGCTACGAGATAAGGAATATATTTTTTGAATAATTACCAACCAAGACGTTTGAACGAAGGTTTAAAGATATGAGTCGAAGTAAAAAAAACCATTGACAAATGGAAGTTTGATTAGTTTTATTATTCATTGAAAACAAATTACAAAACTTATTTTATTCAATCCTCATCTGTTGACATTTCCACTTTTCACAACCACTGTTTAATCTTGACAAACTCCATCTTCCACTGTTGCATACTTCGTGTAAATATAATATACGATAGTTTGCTTTCGTTATTCAAACTCCGAAAATCCAATAAATAACACGACGGTCACCTGCAACTCGATTATTTCAAAATTACTTATCAAAATTACTAATCTATAAGTTTTAACAGCTGAATTCATGAATCTATATAAACTAGACCACCATTGAAAAACTGGAAACAGTATGGAAATCCTCGGCAGTTGTAGTCACGATCCTATATACACGACTGGAATTCAGGAGCTTCGACATCAACGTTGACGATTAACCTCTAGATCACTGGGCCGACAGGCATCTAACAGTGTTGATGTCTAACTTAAATCAATCCATGATTTTGCGTAACACTTCATCCATTGTCTGAGATATATACCTATTTCTATCCGACACAGATTATATTCCGCTGGTCACAGCTCCTCGCTAGAACCCCAAGAAATCCATCTTGAATTTATAAATGGTTTGAAAATTGCCTTTGCATGGTAATACTTTTATATTTCCTATTCCGTTTATTGGCGTATTTCCTAACGTTCTAATTCTGATATTGACCTGAACATATTGTTTTTTAAATGTACAGTAAATTGCAGCGATGTCCTAATTTTCTGTTTATTGCGTAATAACACCCATCCCATTAGTTAGTTCTGTCGAATAGAAACAATAATTAAGTATTTGATCAAACATTTTGTATACATTTTTCATCTTTTTAAAATTCTAGAAAAGTGGTCATTATGTACAAATATTTACAAAAATGGTTATTAGGATGTATTAAGGCATAAAGAAAAGAAATAAGAAATTATTTTTTTATATTACAAAATTAAATTGTGCAACTTTATATGCATGAAAGTCAACTAATAGAGGTTGTGGTTAGTAAAATAGTACTCGTTATTTGCTTATCTGGCAAGAGGAAATAAAATTTACATATGATTTAAGATAAATGATTATATTCACTGGTGTAATATCACAGTCATCAGTCTCATCTTAATTTGTCAAATTACTTCATTCATATGACTGACATCAAAATATTTACCATATACATTGTTTTGAATGCAAATCAATGGTGTATTTGTACTGTTACACTTCTGACTTTCATTACACAAAGAATCATTGCACCGTGATTCAGTCACCTTATCAAAACTTTTTAAATTATCTTGATCGGGAATTTCAGAACTAATTTGTATATTTTCGACTTTCCTTTTCGAATTATTTTTATCATTCTCGACTTTGCTGGCATTTAGAAACTGTGACTCCAATGGAATAACATTCATGTTAATTTGATTGGCCGCTTCAGATGGAGAAAAGAATGTTAAATGTGGTAAATTCAAACTAGTCGTAGGAAGCTGAGCAAGAAGAACGGGACTAGAAAGCTGTGCTGTATGTTGTTGCGTTCGCAAAATATTTGATGGTATTGGAGAAGATAATATTGGTGGTTGTGATATTATTTTATCGTTTGTAGAAATCAAATGAAACGCATGATTAGTGTAATAATTACCACAATTGGAAAAATTATTATCACTTTGACAGCTGATAGACGGTATAGCACTAGCGGCTTCCATGTCTGTTGTCCAGTAAACAACTGCTCCACTAAAATCACAATTGCACGAAAAGTCTTGTGCTGATTGCACGGAGGGTTCTACAGTAATGATACGATTAATATCAACTTTGTTATCAAATGTGACTCTCGATGATTGATTTGACGATGTAAGATTGTTAACTCCTTCATCGGAATGAAGTTTCTCACTATCATTTATATCATGAACTGAGCATAATTCGATGGAGTCATGATTTGACTTCAGTATATACTTATTTGGACTATTCACAGTTTCTCTTGTTAATGTGGTCATTGTCAATGGAAAAGAAGTAGATACTTTTTCTGCTGATTGGTTCGACATACCTATAATCTTTTTACTTGTTTTATTCTTACGTTTATATATGCAACAACCGATTGAACATATTATTACAACTGATATAAATGCTAAAGATAGGGAAAGTCCTGCAACTGTAAATGCGATTCTTCCAGTACCAGAATATCTGGAAATATTTTTGATCATATCTAGCTTACTTGTCGACGATACTATTGAAGGTGATGAAATTGAGACACTTCGATTTATACTGTCATTATTAGTGAAGCTATTATTAGCTGTTGTGGGAAATAAAAAGTTTTTTATTGAAATTTTTAAATCACCATAACCTGGTTGTACAAAAATAGGATCTGAAGTGATGAAGTACATTTGTGGAGTATAAAATGTTCCTAAAGTGAATATATATGGAATAGTTTCTTCATAAATTTTTATACTTTCATTAGGTATTTGATATGCTTCAAAATAAACATTGTTTGATAGGAAATCTTGTAAACTGATACCTATAGAACTAGTTAGTTTATCATTTAAATAACCACTTGAAATAACTAATCGGTTATTAATATAAAATCTCCCTGATTTTAACATCGTTCCAGTTGGAAATGTGAACATTGTGATTGACATGACCTTACGATTATTCTTAGTTGATATTTGGTTTGGAATGTTATATTTATGCAAAAGTTCATGGAATTTACTTATTTCCAAGTTTTCTGCATTAATTTTAGTCATTTTCCCAGGAGTAACATAAAGTGTGTCAAAGGAAATCAACGACTGTACAGTTATACTCACGGTAAGAGTCATGTACGAAGAGTGTTCGCTAGATAATTCATCAGGTAGCCAATCAAAGATATTTGATCGAGTTCTCAAAGACGTTCCGCAGACGGATTTTTTTATTGCAATGGTAAATGAATCATGTGGTGATGAGAAATTTGTCTTCTCGTAATATACTCGGTTCTGTTCTAACTGTGTGTAGCTGAATCTATGTATAGGGATTGTATCTACGAATACTTTGCCATAACTAGGCAGTTGTTTGATATGGAAGAATGTAAAGTGATTTGTTTGGTAATCGTGTTGATAGTTTTTCCATCTATTTGATTGGACTTGTAACATTTCTGTATTAAGCCATAATTTTGTTTCATTTTGTAACAGAGTTAATTGTACTGAATTGTTCAGCATAATGTTGTTCAGTATGATTTGAAATTGTAAAACACCGCTTAATTTATTCATTTGTAGATTAGGATATTCATTTTGATAAATCTCAAATGTAACCGAATCGTATAAAGCTATATTAGGATCTTGTTTGCTTCCATCAACATTATTTGCAAAATATCTGAGCCTTTTCAGATTGACATCATTTTGTGTGACTTTATACAATGTTTCACATTCAGGTGTCAAAATATCATGCTCTTGTTTAAATGAATTATATGAATAGTATAGTTTACCATATTTTGGCAATATTTTAAAATGTATGTAAATAAATTGTGGCTGAATAAATTCATGCTGGACATATAAATGTTCATTGGTAATAGTTACATAATCATTCATTTCAACTGTAATTAAAGTTTTACTTATGCTCAAAAGATTATTTCTATTTATTTGAATCCCTGGATAGATGAGCTTAAGTGATGTATTCGAGTTAGGAACAATTTGTATTGGAAAAATAATCGGTAGTTCATAACTAGTCAACGAGCGATTTAATTGATATACCTAAAAAATAAATTTGAAATGTACATGAATTCGTCTCTTCCAACATAAAAAATTTGATCTTATTTCATTCCACAAAATAAATAGTAGTATTATGCTGCTTAATTGTCACTACATCCAATACATTTATTTGTAATCAACAAGGAAATTAGACACATAATGACTTGATCAGAAAATTGATTACAGCAAAAATGTAAATGATAATGGATTCAGTTTACAGTCTTTTGAATAAGATTTTAAGTATCCTCATAAATTCGAGAAATATTTTCCGATAAAACTATTGAATATAGAATATTCTTGTAACTGTTACATTATTAGTCTATAATCCAACTCTAGTTATAAAAATCAATAAAATTTGACATTGATTACTAGATAATCCAATAAAAATATTCCTATACAACTCATGACAAACCACATTCCATACAAGATTGTGCTATGTAAACTTTCGTAAATACTGTAATCTGATTTCCTAGTCGTCATACTAATAATAATAATGGTAGTAGTAACAGTAGTGAAAATTACAGTAAGTTGAATTATTCAATGTTGTTAACATTTATTGTTTTCATTGTTTAAGCTATAAATTTAAATTATCTGGAAGGCATAGAAAAATCATTGTTTTGATAACATTTAGCAATTTTGTGGTAGATCAAAACAAAATACTTAATCATTTGGATATAGTCACTTAGAACATATATTTACAATAAAAGTAATAAAGAGTTTTCTTTCTATAGTTTAGAAGCATCAGTTTAACACGTTATACGCAAGTGTATTTTACATTTTAGACATTTGTACACTGTTTGATTATAACATTCAGTAATATAAATAAACCATGCTTATCGTTGCAACTGTTTATTTAAAAAATAACTTGAACATTAGTTCATTTATGATTATTTCTGACCTCAACATATTTATAATAATTAAATAGTTTTCTTGTGCGTTTTCAATTAATGTCAAACATTACCAGTAAAACCGTTAATTATGATAATTATTTCAACCATATAATTCATTCATCAGTTTAGTTAATTATAATTAACACTGTAATCAATTGAGACGACTATATTGACCTTTCCTGTTAGTGTTATATTTTCATTAAAAAAATTCTATGATTGCAACTTCTTCCATACAAATAGTTTTTATAAGAGTATTACGACATAATGTTACTGTATGAAATACATATTGTGTAAATACATTAACATGGAAAATGACCATAAATTAACTTAATATTGAGTTATATTATCATATTTTATGTTAACTAACGATATGATATTTAATAATCTGAGTCAGTACGTACAGACTGATATAGCTTTAGATGAACTTTTTTAATTCAGTTAAATAAATTATTCTACTACTTCTAAACAGTTAAAATTTTCATTACCAATTACTAAGCTAAATCTATGCTTTTTGATCACTATGAGAGGATATTTTCATTTATAACTGATGTTATACAAATTAATAACACAAATAATGATTTACTTACCATTTTGTCAAATAATCCACTAGAATGTTTTATACAACTTATCGGCTTATTAAAACTCGATATACGAAAAATGTTATTTTCGATAAATTCTCTTAAGGTTCTACAATTATATATCCAAATTATTGATTGGAAAAATGGGCAGGTTAAGAGCAATGTACATCGTTTAAAGTATGTGAATTTAGGATTGTGTTAAATAAAATACAATAAAATTGTGTAATGTGGATATCACTCATATAGAATGTTAACTTGAATCTGCGTATATGTGAAGTGAAATTTTAAGATTTGTTCAGTGAAGAGTCCTCTTTTCGGCGAATTCATTTTTAAAGCTGTACAATCGCAAATATATATACTTATTTTTACAGGTGATAATAATACTGATAATAAACTTATGATATACCTGGTGGCAGTGAGGTTAAATAAACAAAGGTATTATAAAAACATTTTTTTTAAAAAACAAGGAAAGTCTGGTAGTTAATGGCTTAGATATTCATCGGGTAAGAGTAGCTCAGCATGATAAAATAACATAAAATGTTGAAACAGAGATGAAATGTAATCGGAATGATCGTTGAAATAAAAACAAACCGGTTGGGGGTACAAGATTTGAAGGGAAGATGGAAGGTGAAGCAGGTGGCTGTAAAAGAACAAGAGTAATGAGAAAGAGAAAAAAATTTTAATACATTAAGACCATGGTAAAAGAAGAGGTTGTACCAGTCTCTTTTGTACACATAATTCTGGTTTTTCAAAATGTATGGCTATTGCCTCGGCAATGCAAAGAAGATGTAGTCTAATTGTCTTAGGAAGGCTTCTACTTACCTTGTAGATGACTTTGAACGCAGAGTCTGTCTTGATTGAGTGACCTGTGTTCACAAGGTGTTCGATTATAGAACTTCTTATTGAACTTCTTATTTAATGTCATAATGGGTGTATTCCGTTTATTAAAATATTTTAAGATCCATGATCAAGATAAATATGGGTCAAATAGGGTGAGAGAGAAATATTAGTGCAATTACAATTTGATCAAATTAGTAAGACGTAATAAGGAGGGATGAATGCGAAATGGATGAATCATGTATAGGGGAGATTAATAACGATACTTAACCAATAACACGAATAATAATAATAATACGAATACAAAGATTTATGAATAAAGATAACAGAGACAATTACAATTGACTACGAAAGGTCATAGTCAAGTTAGGTCATTCAGTAGCTAAGATTACGATTGATTAATTGGTCAGGGGAGGAAGAGTGGTTGAATATATCTCTTCTGTTCTCATAGCTCCGGTTTTTTCATCCGGATGGCTACTGCTTCAGCCGTTTGAAGGACTTTAAATCTGACCACTTTTGGCAAAAAATTACCAACCTTATAAATAATTGAAAAAGATTGGTTTATACTGGCACTATGACAGGTTTGTACTAAATGGGCTATATCATTGTAGAACCTCAAGAGAATTTATCGAAAGGAATATTCTTCGTTCAAATACTAGTCTTTTAATATGACGGGGATCTTTAAACGATACCATAAATAGTTTAAAACTGAATTAATGAAACATTATTTTTACTTTAATACGATATTATTCTACTGAAATTTGACGTTAATATATATTTATGAATTATGGTTAACAGGTTTAAATATAAATAAGTGAAAATTTAAAGAAATATCCATGAAATATGCTATCAACTATTTGTCATTTCTTTTATATGATTTAAATTTAGAAACAAGGTAGAATTGGTATTTTGTTGTGAACATATTTACAATGAATAACAAAATGATAAATAACTTTCGTGATAATTTTAAAGAGTAATATATATATATATATATATATATATATATATATAGAGAGAGAGAGAGAGAGAAGAAATTCTTTATTTTTTTTCATTTTTAAACACTAGTGATTGACATTTATCTAAATTATATGTTTTTCATGGTATAACTAACAAGTATATTTTCTAATGTTTTAAAATTTGTCTGTATATTTAATAAATCCAAATGAAACGTGCAAATGAACAATTAGTGGTCAGTTTTGAATTGATATCAAAGGAACTATAAAGATCTGAATGTAACAGTTCTACTACTGCTTATATAATATTTCAAATATAAACATTTTCAAATGCTGAAAACAAGACGATGAATGAGAATTTATAAAAAAAATTATTCAGATTATCAAACGACGTTATTAAAAGAATGAGAGAGACAAGGTTTAGACATTTGAATAACCTGTATTGACAGTTATACATTATGTTAATGGCTAATCAAATTCAACATATTGGTTTCTATTATTATCATCCTACTGCACTGAGTTACTATCAAGATTTGTTACACATTAAACTTGTCTTTTATATGGTTGAACCAACAGATATTACTGTCATGATAATAGGTTTGGAGGAAACGCTATATTTACTGAGATTTGGTGGCAACTAGCAAATATCATGTTATTTGATACACCATAGTGAGAAGCTTTGTGGTTGATCTTTAAGCTGAGTAAATTAACAATGAAGTCCACTTTTTAGATGCGAATATTATTAAAGTACATAGTAGGAAGTCATAAAACTAGATGTCTAGCAAGTTAGAACTTATTAGTGAAGCTCATCGATAGACTTAAAGGAACCGGCTATTTCAAATTACTATTTTCATGAATTTCTTAAATAGTATTTTCATATCCTCACTGTTGTACCCAAGTTTTGTAAGACATCGTGCACAACATGTGGCTCTAGTTTCTAGTTATTCTGAATCATGGGATTAATTTGAAATTATTTATGTACAGAAGTAAATATAATGACTGTTCATGCAACATAAACAGTAAATGAAAAATTAACACTAACGTTGAATTTTTTCAATACACAAGTATTTAGTCAGTCAATAAGCAACATAGTAGAACTTCGTAAGTACGTACATCAGTTCGAGTTGCCACATCATATTAACACAGAGAGACAATCGTCGATTCAAAACCCAAAGTGGTAGAGATAGTAAAAGTATTAGCAGTAATCGGAAACAGTAGGGTTTGAGGATGTTATTCAAGGAGTATAATCCAGTGAAAGAAATTTCGAAGGGAAAAAAGAAAGCGACATGAAGAATTCAGAAGATTTTGGGAGAATACAAAGAGTGAATGCACCTGCGCCATCACAGAAGATTTTGAGCCATGTTATTCAAAGTCTCTAACCATCGGTTGCTATCATCTCGCGGTCCTCAACCAGGTAGTCTACACCTACCAACATGGCTCAGTCCACTTGTCAGTGACTTCATGGACTTGTGCCATGTTTTGGTCTGACCGCCCTTAGCTTTCTTATAACCTACTCCTACACCATAAAACATCGCACGTCGAGGCAGTGGGTCGTTGGGCATACGTTACACATGTCCCAGCCATCTCAACTGATGAAGTTTCACTACGTCATCAATTGATTTGCCATCCTTACCTAGTACCCGTTTCCTAACAACTACATTACTTACTCGGTGGTCCCAGGATATGCGAGCAATATTTCGAAGACACCTATGGTCAAATACTAGTAACCTACGAATATCCTCTACTCTTACCAGCCATGTTTCACTGCCATAAAGTAGGACGGAACGAACTGCTGCGCAGTAAACCCGTCCTTTGGTTGATAGATGGATATCTCGCCTACACCATAAATGATGCAAGTTGGCAAAAGCTAGTCGAGATTTCATCACACACCGGACCACAAGGGTTGATGAGACTCCCAAGATAAGTGAAGCGATCAACACACTCAATTACTTCACTCCCTATCATTAGTTAAGGTGTCGATGCAACCCAATCCTGAAGTAACATTTTGCATTTCGAGGGCGAGAAGCGCATCCCAAAAATGCTTGCATTGTTGCTTAGAGTGACCACAAGACTCTGCATTTTGTCAGCGTCTTCACCAAATAGAACTATGTCATCGGTATATTCTAAGTCAACAAGTGAATCTCCCGGTAGAAGTTCAACCCCTGGAAATTAAGATGAGGAAAGTGTTATCTCTAGAAGCACGTCGACGACAAAGTTGAACAAGAATGGGGAGAGTGGGCAGCCCTGACGAACACCACTTGAGGTAATCAATTCTGATGACGGTTCGCTATAAGTTCTCACTCTACCAGTTGTGTTCGAACAGAGAGCCTTTACAAGGTTAATGTACTTCTTTGGTACTCCTTTCAGTGGCAAACACTCACGATCAACAGAGTCGAATGCTGCTTTAAGGTCGAGAAATACTACCATTGTGGGGCGTCTGAACGTGTGTCTGTGTTCTAGAACCTGACGTAGTGTGAATATGTGGTCTATACAACCACGTCCAGGTCGAAAACTAGCCTGGTTTCCTCTAGTCTGCTCTTCACGAACTTTAGTTAGGCGTCGATGTATTACTGAAGCTAGTATTTTAGACACTGATACCTCTGTAATCGTCACAAGAGGACTTTTGTCCTTTCTTATAGACTGGCACAGTCAGTGATTGAAACCAGTCCGATGGAATTACGTTCAGTTTCAAGATTCTACCTAAGACCTCAGTCAATTTCACTGCTAATACTGGACCACCATCCTTAAGATTCTCAGGAGTAAACCTGTCAGGGCCTGTTGCTCTCCCACGCTTCAGATTTCCCATAGCTTTTTCAACTTCGTAAAGCGTCCGGAGACTTGCGTCAACTTGCCATTCAGGTTGACTGGAGATCGCGGGAAACCAAAGTGCTAATTATTTAAACCGTTTACATTTTCAGCTGAAGTATATTCGTGACAACTGTTACTAAAATACTTTTATAAATAGTTCACTTTGAATTCCAAGAATCAAGATAGAACAGAAGATATTTAAGTACAACGCTACTCGATTGATGAAGAGTAAGCACTCAGACTTACTTAAGATTTGAACAGGGGATGGCCTTAAATTTACTAGCATTAAAACGTAGTTTGTACTTATATAAAGTTTATCTTTGTTATATTCTTTTTTAATTTTATTCTCAAAGTGAATATGCATACTCTAGTTTTACTTTTATATATATCAAATGATTTTGATGAATTTTGATTCCTAACCATACTCTAACTTTATGAAAACTATCAAGTATTTTAAAAACAAATGTCAGACTTATTCTCATTAGCAAAACATGGACTTACCAGTAGTTCGAAACTGTCTTTTTTGTTAATGAGCCGTCATGTTGATAAATTAATTTTTCTTCTAACTCGCCACTCAATAAACCAGGAATTACACTACCAGTTTTCATCCTTTTTGATCCTAACCAAAGGGCTCCATGTTCTGGAGGTCTTGCAATTTTAAGCTGGCCATTTGAATATAAAATCACATTGAGATTAATAAATGATCATAATTCATTATAATAGAATAAACGTGACTGAAAGTAGTTCGTATCAGGAACTGACATAAACTCAATGATTGAAATAGAGTTATGTGAACGGTTGTTTATATGTTTCGATATTTTTAGTAACAGCTCTACTCATATCATGCGATAAATGAATAAAAAATCTTATTCTTGTATAAAATCATGTCATTCAGTGAATGAATCATATTGCCATTTAAGGTCGTTATTAGTTTGTAGTGAAAACTATTTCCAAACTATTCCATGTCCAATATAAATTATAAATTAAATTGCTTTGCTTTAAAATGTTCCTTATCCTATCATTTTTATAAAGATTATATCACATATTAATAACATTTTCACCGGAACTTAAGTAATGGACTCAAGTAGCATGAGTTTTAGTCTTGATCGCTTTGATAACTAAACACTGGAACTGTAAAGAAACTGGAGTTAATTTTTATTGCAGGATAAAATTATTATCAAAATTTCAAAATTTAACAGCAACAAAAAAAGGTTGAAATTTGAACGAACTATAAGTCTTTGTCCTTTAAAGATTAATATACAAGTTTATCTTTTATTGGATTAAAGTAATCCATGGGGAGTTATCTTTAGTTAGTTCATTCATCTGATAGAAATTGGAAGGAAATTTATAAAAATTGTTATCTGAATTTCAACATATAAAATATTTGATATATTTAATAAACTTGTGACTAAACCATGAATAAAATAATTTAGAACATCTACTGAGAATATATGAACAATGAAAGTTTCACTGAATTCAAGTACAAACAGAATACAAGTAAACTAAAGTATTCATTTTATTCTGTTGTTGAACTGCAAACACGAGAAAACCAAGCTGGCTTCAGACCTGGTCGTGGCTGCATCGACCACATATTCACCATTCGTCAGGTTCTAGAACACAGGCATACTTATCGGCGTCCGACATGGTGGTCTTTCTTGACTTAAAAGCAGCATTTGACTCGGTAGACCGCGAGATTCTGTGGCAGTGTCTGTCATTGAAAGGCGTACCCCAGAAGTACATAAACCTTGTAAAGGCTCTTTACTCGAACACTACTAGTCGAGTCAGAGCTTATGGCGAACTGTCATCTAATTTTGCAACCTCAAGTGGTGTCCATCAAGGCTGTCCACTTTCTCCATTTCTGTTTAACTTCAACATAGACCTATTGATGGAAATAACATTCTGGTCGACTGAATTCTCGGGTATTGATCTCCTTCCAGGAGGTCCACTTATCGACTTAGAATACGCAGATTATATAGTTCTGTTTGGTAAAGACGCTGGTAAAATGCAGAGCCTTCTGGTGGCACTAAGCAACAATGCCAGAATGTTTGGAATGCGCTTCTCTCCCTCTAAATGCAAGTTGTTGCTTCAGGACTGGTCTGCGTCAACAACTGAACTAAGGATAGGGAGTGAAGTGGTCGAACGCGTCGACAACTTCACTTATCTTGGAAGTCTGATCAGCCCTAATGGGTTGGTGTCTGACGAAATCTCAGCACGGATTCGAAAAGCTTGTTTGGCTTTTGCCAACTTACGTCACCTGTGGCGAAGGCGAGATATCCATCTATCAATAAAAGGACGAGTATACTGCGCGGCAGTCCGTTCTGTTTTAATTTACGGCAGCGAAACATGGCCGTTAAGAGTAGAAGACACTCGTAAGCTATTAGTATTTGACCACAGATGCCTTAGAAATATTGCTGGCGTCTGCTGGGATCACCGGGTAAGTAATAGTGAGGTTATAGACGCAGTGTATTAGGTAATGATGGTAAATCAGTTGATGAGGTTGTTGATCTTCATCGACTGAGATGGTTGGGCCACGTGTTACGTATGCCTAAACACCGACTACCACATCGTGCAATGCTAACGGGTGTTAGAGATGGTTGGAAGAAAGTTAGGGGGGGGCGGCCAAACCAAAACGTGGCATCAGTGCTTGAAGACACTAACCTCTAGTCTGAGCCATGTTGGTAGATGCAGACTACCTGGTTGGGGTCCGCGTGACTATCGTACCCATTGGTTGGAGACTCTTGGTGACATGGCTCAGAATCGATCACAATGGCGTAGGTGTATACACTCCCTGTCTTCCCTTAACCTAAGAGATTAAAATCACTTCATATCTTTCTACTAACTAATTCTTTCTTCCTGTACTGTATCCTCATATGCAATCTTTCTCCTATATATTACCACCTTTAACCTAACCACTCCTATGAATCCGGTGTTCATCTTGCTGTGCTAATAAGGTGTGGCAACCTGGACCGATGCATATATGTGCCTGGTCCTACGTTGTAGCTGACTGACTGATTCGATTCAACAAGAAGAATGATTGTATATCATCATAATGATCATAAACATTAGTGAAGTAAAACTGACTTACATTTTTGCTTTCTGATCTATTATTTCTGAAAAAATCACGAACTGGATTGGGATTGATATGACTCAGTGTAATTTCAACAGTATGACCATTATGTAATATTAAGGGATTAATATTTAATAGACGATTTTGATTATATTTAAAAATATAATCATACGATATAGAAATTGAACCAAATATTATTTGAGATGTTAAGTGTTCTGCATAATCATGATAGTTTGATATATCAGTAATATTATGATCTTTTTTATTATTATTATTATTGTAATTTTTCTCATTGTCTTTATTCATAATGGTGGTACGCTTTACAATACTTGCACTAACAATATATTCATCTTCAATGTCAGAATTATATTGTAACAATGTAAAATGATTTCTGTTTATACGCCATTTATTTGGGTGAAAGGTATAGGCTATTCTTCCCAATTTGATTTCCTCCTGTTAAATTAAATAAAACATTGAGTTGTACTCTTACAATAACTTTATGTTTACAGCAGAGTCACAAGTATTCAACGCGGCAAAAATAGGTAATATTTGCACTGACTACCTGTTTTAGAGTCAACCGTGACTGACAAAACCTTTAAAGAATATTGTGAAGAACACCAGTGTCCATCCATGAGGCAGTAAGTGTTCATTAAACATAACAGAAGAAGAGATCTATGAAAAGCCTGTTAAGTAGAAAATTTTGAAAGGTATTCTGGTAAAATTGCCAAAAATCTCAACGATAGAACCTTAAAGAATGGTACGAAACAAATCATAGATAAGCAAATGTTGATTCATAGTTAGATTTCTGACGAAATAAAGCTAATCAATTGAACCAGTCTATCAAACTACAAGCATTATCATCCAATCAATATTGAATACTATAATAATATTCGTGAAATGTACTTATCATTACTGATAATCTAGAAGTGCGGAGTATGCCTCTGTCGTTTCTATGAAACCAACTGTCTTAAACTGTTAATGAAACAAGTATGTAAAAATAGAATGTCTCTTAATTTTATTTTCTATGAATCATACATAGATTGTCCTACGATACTGTGACATTAGTATTGCGATTTCTGCTTAGTATAAAACATGTCTTCATTATTTTCCTTGTGTCTACCAAATTTCTATTCAACATAAATCTTTATCTTGTGTTTTTGGTAATTATTTTATAGAATTCATTATTTATTGATTTGTTTATTCGTCACGTTATACTAATTAGGCATAATCTATTATAAAAAGTTTTCCCTTTATTACTGTTTTGTCCGTATGCATATAGACGTATTAATATGACTTCACTTTGATGTCCATGAAGTTAGTGAATATGCGAAATTACTACCCGTTCTACAACTTTTCGAATTTCAAATTCAGTTGAATACAGTTAAATATCTTAGTTATAAAGGTATAGGAAATTCATTTGTGTCGTTTAATGATATTGTCCAGAACTATCATAAAATATCAACAATTAAATCATTTGCTTTAGGGAATTGAACGCAATCAAAAGCATCCTTCTGAGCTGAAAATATTCAAAGTTTAAAGCGAAACTACGTAAAAACATTGGTTTGAAATAAAATGGTTGTTTTTATCAAGAGACAAAAGGAATAAGTTATAAGATGATTACTATTTTTCTGTGGCGATACGCTGCTGAAAAATGTATTTTGCTTATGATTTTTCAACCCATCAAAATGGATGGTCTGGCAATCAAATGGTTATCTTTCGTTTAATTGTAGTACATCTTCGTTCTTCAGAGATAGTAAAATGAATAATTAACAAATGAATCTGTTTTGACGAAGAAAGTAAGAAAATTGTATGTGATAATACCCTAACTTTATACTAAGTTAAATTAGCAAAAATTAATAATTAGGGAGGAAAATATACCTGAGTGAATTCATATACACTATCATTCCAAACGGCCAAATGATTTCTGTCTGTGACACTGAACCTGACTATTGACCCATGTGTTGGCTGAGATAAAACCTTGTACACCACATAAAGACCCAACTCGTTTTCAAGTGATGACGAAGTATTAGATAGATTGTTATTCTCCAACGCAGTTGAGTTAGATTCATAATCCATCGGTTTCAGGGCACTGAACTTTATTTGAGTATTGATGTGATGAGGAGTGATTATTTCAAATCTACAAATAGTAAGCAAATATATTCAAACTTACTTGGCTCGTTCAGTATATTTAGAAACAAGTAAAAATTTCACTGTGATTAGGCATTTATTTCCACAAACAATTTCTTCTTTAACATAGATCCTCTATAGTGTAAGCTTTCATTTAAATATTGGCAGTTCGTTTTTACTCAGTAAATCATACACTGATAAACCACATAAAGAGGTTTAGATTTAGGAGATCAGGAGTAAGCCATATAATACGGCGACCTACTCTAGTGAAAATGATGGTATTTGAGGATTGACATTAAAGTTCCTGAAATCAGTAAAAATTTCAAAATGTGCTGTCAACAAAGTTCGGTGATTTTATTGACAGCATGTCCAAAGAAACGACTGATTGAATTATTTCAAATGATGTCATGGACAAATAGATTAATTGTGATATGTTATTCTCTTTAAAAACTATTTCGGCACATTTTTTAGTAAAATAATGATACACGAATAACCAGTCGAATCCATTTATTCAGTCAGTCTTGGGTGCTGTTAGAGGTATGAGGACGGTTATCACTTCCCTGTTTCCCACACCATGGAAGGGTTCTTCTAGATGTACATAAAGAGGAAATTGGATTAAAAGTGCTCTTAGTGACCTGAGAGCGTGACTGCTGTAACCAAAGAACAACTGATTGAGGTCGGTCACACACCACCTTTTTGTGGGTAATTTTTGTGTTAGCTCCGTACTTGTTGAGATCTTACCGTCGGAGACGGATAGCCGTGTGATAAGGTGAGGTGTTTATTTTTAGGGTCAACCTTTTCTAACCCTATCCCTCCTTGTGGGGAGACAGTATCGCTGTTACGCTGGTTGTCTGAAGGAAACACCTTACTGCTGTCACACCTCTGTACAGTCAGCAGTATGACTTCGCCTTCGGACCTTGAGTTTGCTACTTTTTGTCTTACCGTTCCTCAACCGACCTGTCTGGCATGGTAGGACCTTGAGGAACGATTGTTCCAGCCAGTATAACTCGATTGGTTCATCACGATAGGCAAGCCCGACCGCCACGTCATGGTAGCAACAACGGTCGGAATCGAATCCATTATTAGCACTTAGTATAGCTACGTTACCACAACTGGAATAGAGCTAGAAAAATTATCATAAACAAGAGTCTAACACTTTAATTTCTTACCCTTTGGGGAATACTAGCAATGTTCGATTGCTTACGACATTCAATTCTACTGTGCCAGGAATTATTTGAAACTGATAAATTTCAGATCGATGTAAATTGTATATCAGAACGAAGGCGAAACCGCAAGCCGTACCTTTCTGTGAACCTATGAATGTTTACAGAAAAAATAACTTATGAATGTGATTAAAGTTATTTATGGAAAAATACACTGTTGATAATGATAAAACACTGAGTAGTTCACTGAAATGCATTAAAAGTGTAAGACATCTTTCCTTCTTTTACTTACAGGAATTAAAATATATTCATCACAATCACTAATTAACTTACAGAAAATCGAACAATCATTTTCTTTTATTGCTAAGTAATTAAGTCATCAAAATATGTCGGTCACACGGGTAGGTTGCTTCATGCAAAGTACATTATGTCGAAAACATATATACGAAAGGTGTTTTTATCTGTACAAGCGTAGAACTCAGTTTATTTCAGATAGACAAAAGTATTTATTCACTGCTTAGTTGATAAGTAAACATAGTGTATTGTGAAATGATTTAGGATATCTTATTTTTGAAGTTACTACTAACTAGGTAATTTTGATTGATCGGATAGTAAACTCTGCATGATTTTAATCACATAACTTGGCCCATTATAAAAATAAATATATGTTGTTAGAAAAAGCCTCTATAGAACCTTTAATTCATTAGTTCAATATAAGTATTAACAGATTGGCCAAATGAACGTTTTCTAGTTATATATATTCCTCTGTAATATAGGAGTAAAAAATATAACATGCTTAAACAAACAGCAACTAGTGGTCAGAATGATTAACTTCTTGGTTTGGTTGTTTCACTTAATGCTTGTTTTAATGAAATAAGAAATATATGCAAAGTAATACCTTACAATGCGTTCACAATAATTTCATTAACTGCTTATTAATACGAAACTAATTTAGGACGAAAAACTCGGAACTGTTTGGTAGTTTGTTGGAAAGCTTACTTACATAAAACATCATATATATATTATCAGCTTACAGGAAAATGATTTTCTTTTAGCTGATTTATTATAGTGAATACGAGAAAACGTGTTCCGAGTAAACGAAACGCGTAGCTAAGCCTTAGGTGCTGCGTGATTATTTTCATGCTCATAAAATCACTAGGTTGTTTCAGACTGCAAAAGTTTCAGCAGGTATAATGAACATTTGAACGTTCAGTCACCTTTTCACATTCAACGTTTTCATTATTCTTTTTGTATGAAACAGCATATCACTTAAGACGACAGAGAATCGTAGTTTACGAAGTACTTTGTACCATGACATTTAGCGCTTAAGTTGTTACACAGCACCGAAGCACTCACTTAGACATTCGGTTTAGGATTGCGTCATACACTAAAGCAATAACTGCCAGTTAACCCTCAAATTTTCTAGCAAAGTTAAATCAATATATACTAGGAAAATAATTTAATACTATATACAGACGGTGATTCGTGTATTCTGCCTTTCCTCCAAAATACTGAAATGCACATTACAAAAAAACTGTATACAGCTTTTAACATCAATTTAAATGGAAAAATGACGTGACAAATATCACTGTAAACGCTACGCCAGTGTATTTAAACAAAATTTGCATCGAATTCTCGAGAAATACAAACTCATTTATCATATGAAATAAGGAAAAGAATATACGAATTCCCAAATGATATATAGTTATGTAAATGATAACTTACTTGCAAATATTGGAAAACAATTTAAAAATTACTTTAAACATCTATCCCGTTAGTCATAGTTTTATTAGACACTTAAGTTGTTTACCTTCCTAGAATTCATTCTACATTTAAAATGTGATTTGCATAAACTGAAATGCCTAAAATTGTACCCAACTCTATAAGAATTAAATTTAAGCCTTTTTTATTGAAGGTTAATTACCCACATTTAGGTGTTTCTTCCCCAATCATATTTTTTATTAAAATAAAATAACAAAATCTGAATTTCAAAATAGTTCCCTTTATAAACTTTTATGAATACCTCTGCATTGATTTTCTTTTATAGGATATTCCAAGCTTAAATAAAGTTTGGTAATAAAATGATTTCTTGATAAATGCAGCGATTGATAAAAATAGAAGTAACTAAGAAGTTTATATATCATGTCTAAACGGAAATAGTAATTTATGAGTTTACAGGAATTCCAAAACAAACCTATTACATATGAATTCGGTCAATGTACGGAATGTCAGTCCGCTATTAAGCATTTAAAATACTTCTATCCTCAAGGAGGTTGGAAGATGTGTCTGAGCTTTTTATAAACTGATAAAATGTTTCTCATCATTGATCCGGATAATAATTTTCAATAGCTATATACATAGTTTGTGGATGAAAATATTTATATTGTAATTTACTGAATAAACTTCACAGTCGCTAAAAATATCGAACAACCTAGGGAAACTAGAAACATTCCTGACCTATTCGCATATTAACATGTATAGCTGCTTTTCTCCACATCAATCACCTGGTATTTTCTCATAATCTCTTTTACTTACTATGTCCAAATGAAGTAAAGGCATGGAAATGAGAGGGATTTCTTCTGTGTCAATTATTCTTCAAAAAACAGGATTTGCGAATCAAATTAAATATTTAAATTTTCGATTCGCAATAATGAGACCGAAATTTGCGAAGAATAACATCTCTAGTTAATGACAATAGTATAACAGCATTTATGCTTATGTAACAAAAATATTTAGAAATACATATTGTCAATTACTAGATAATTATTGTCGCGTTGCAAAACTGACAAATCGTTTTGATCCATTTTTTCATAGGTAAGTCTAGAACATTTTACTTTTGTAATTACCATTTTAATCTAACGAAGAGGAATAATTCAATAGTCTTTAGTAATTTTGTCTTATTATTTGCGTGTTATCAGGTAAAACGCAACGGTATATAAATTGGTTGCATCATGTTTCGTACGATTTAAAGGTTTACGCTTTATTTTAATACAAATGTGTAAGGATAGAAAGAGTAAAAAACAAGTTTTCGTCACAAAGAAAATTTACTTTGAGCTGGGTTCCTATGAAACATTCAAATAATACAGTCGATTTTATATAACTTCTTGACATAAATTTATTTAAAAATGATCTAACATGCAGTGAGAGCAACTAGCTATGGTGAGAAACTTCCAAAATTATGTCAGTTCACGCTAAAATTTAGATGTAATAAAAATAAACGTTATGAACTTTATTTTATCGAAAATTATGAAAACATACCGCTATGAACAAATCCAACTCGTCCTCGTCGAAGATCCACTTGTGTAAATGTACTTAAACTAACAGACAAACTGTTTAAAAACACCACGTGACCTTGATGAGTGTACAAGATTTCATAGGTGATTTGATCTAAAACACAAGATAAAATTAAGATTGTGATGATTTAATGGGATGATTATTTGGAGAATAATTTTTATATAAAGTAGAGAGAAAGCGTTGAGTTAGTGTTTGTTTAATGGAGAATGTCATGTATGTACGAATCAGTGAATTCACGCTTTAGTGTGGTGATATTTCAGTGAGTCCGTTGAAAATGCGTCATCAAAAAATACAGGTGGAATATATAAATTCTTTTTTCCATGATACAAAATGAGAATGATAAGAAATAAATTAGGTACATCTCCAGGAATTTATAGTTATTTCATTCTAGACCTAGTGTTAAACTCAGTAAAGATATATTGACCGAAGGGAATGGTGACGAATCGTCACAAAATTTTGAAGTCAACTGTATTATGTGAAACGCTTAAGAATAATTTATACTTGATCATCCATGATGAAGATCTACTGAGAGCTTGACTAAATTTATTTAACCATTTTTATGCACATTAGTTAACAAGACTTACAAAACAGTGACTTTAAGAACTATATATTTTCACTGTAGAATTAGTTCGTAAATATTTTTACTCAACTGAACAGTATCATTTATTATAACTGCGTAGAAGCAAAAGAAATGCAGCCATTTTAAAGTCTCAGAAACACTTTCAAAAGAGCAATACAAAAACAGGACAATTTTAAAAAACATTATCTTCAATTCATTTGCCTAAAAACCATTCATCATTGTACTACTTTTGAACTAAATAGTATGATATCGACTAAAGATAATTGTTGTTCAAACTGACGTTTTGATTGTCATTCCGTTTACATAATTTCAAAACAAAAATTATGTGACAATAACTTTACTAAGTAAATTCAGGTGCTAATAAGTTCTAAATAGATTATCATCCCCAGGTTATTACTTTTGAGACAAATGGTTCAAAAGACACGAAATCGTATTACGATAACCACCAAACTTGGTATCAATTACACATTTGAAATGTCTAACAATTCCCTCTTTTCATCCCAGGTGTATCTTTAAGTACAACTTCCAAAATCTGTAGTATTAAGGCTAAGTAATTTTTTGTTGATTCTCAGACAAAGGCTGAATTAAGGCCAATGAATTAACAAAATTTATCGAGTTTCTGTTCATCACACGATGATCGTTGGGTTTTAAATCTTCTGAAATACCCGGAATTTTGACTAAAATTTAGTTACCACGATCCATTTTAGGTACAAAAAGAAATATTTGAAACTTAGGTTACCAATATCATCTGGTAGCGTGTGCAGTGGTCGTTCATACATTCTGAGTCACCCACGCCTGTGATTTTATACATCAAAATCTATTAGTTTCATTTATTTTCCTTAATCATATACCTACATTTCAGTTGAACCGATTACTCAATAGTGTTTTTATTCATCTAACTGGTACGTACATGTGTATCAATAAAAATACAAATCCACAAGATAATACCTGCTGTTTCTTAATCCATATTATTGAAACTATTTACACAAATAAAGTCAACATCTTAGTGAAAAAGGATTCAACATTCAGTTCGTTTCAACCAATTTTTTGGAATTATTATTACCTTTTGTAAATTAATCATAAGATTAAATAAATCTATGAAGAAAAGAATACTAAATCGACAGGTGATAATTTACTGAGAAAGCGGATACGTAGACTGACTATTTATTTATTTGAACACATAAATATTGGTACGATGGGGCACCGAATACATATGCGTCACACAAGTCACTTGATCTGTGTGTGGGTTATGGTATCGCCCAGGTGCACAGACTGAAGCGAGTGGTTTACTTAGGGGGCCATATCCAGACCTCCGACCTAAAGGCCTGATCCACAAGGCACTGGAGCATCGTAAGGAGATTCAGTCCCATGGTGGTCGATGACCAACGTCTATTTCATACACCATCTGTTCCTTCAGGATGCTGGAGCCTATGTGCACCATTGGTTTGGAATCAGGGTTTTCTAACTCCCGTAGGTGGACCCTCCATGTGGATAAAGAAACCTTCCATATAGATAAAATAAATATGTAAACAGTTCTGACCATTAGTCCCTAAAAACAACACAAATTTTCAACACTGTCTTTTTAAAATCATGCCAAATAAACAACTTTATTTTCTATTCCCTAGACATCCAGTCAAATGAAATAGTTTAAAGATAAAGTGTTACAGGCATTTTTGTTTTTGAGTTATGACTAAAGGTAATGACTATGACATTGATTCAGAATGTATAAAAACTTAAAAGCTTCATAAACTACTATGCTGCAATAGTGAATAAACTCAATGAAGTTATTTGACAGCTGCTCCTAGGCAGTAAAGTAAACAATGAACATATGTAAGTGTAAAAAACGCATAAAGTTGAGACTATTTAAAAACAATATGCAAAAGGCACTTCCAAGAAATGTGTATAAACATATAGTTATGGAGATCCTACATTTTTGTATATCTCATTTCCTAGCACAACTAACTCTGAGTATAACATCGATTAAAGTATAAATTAATTGTAATATTCGTATAGCTTCTTCTAATATTCACTTGGTATCGAAAATATATATTTCAGATGATTAAGATTTATTACTAACATATTAGTGGTATTTATCACAAGTTTCATCAAGTTGAGTAAAATATGGTTAGCAGGTTTTATTATTTATGATATACTCTTACCGAAATATAAAACTTTGATAGAATAAAATAACTAATATTTTGTCAACCAATCATAACTCATTAAAATCTATTAAAACTAAAACTTCCGTTATTTTGTTTTCGTACTATAAAGTGTCAAGAACTAAGAAATCGATCTGAAATACTCTACCCCGAATTTTATTTTTCTGTAGGCTATTGTTTAATATCTTACAAATACAATACTTACAAAAATAATGAATGGTAATAATTGATTTTAAAGAATGTAACACCTTCCAAATTCCCATCTTTAGATAAAAATATTCTCAATCATCGCAAAATCAATTTCAGTCGAAACTTACCTGAATTGAACCCACTTGTCAATGCTGCATTTAAATAATCCGTATGGATAACAGCTGATGAACCAGTTAAAATGCGCATTGGCCTACAAGCCTTTAAATATGGTCGAGGATTCATCTCATTTAAAGTAAACTTAATTTTGACTGGATTAACTGTCATTGTTTTTGTTGTAAGTTCCAGTACTGTTAACTAGGATTAAAAGAATGAAATAAAAAGCATTTTAAAAAAATATTCTATAATTACTGTTTGTAAAAAAACAAGACAATAGTTGAACTATTTAATGCATTTGTAAATAACCCCATAAAGAGTTGACACCATATATGAACATCAACATGATCAAGACTTATTTGCATTCATTGACAATTCAATTTTTATTTTAGATTTTTTTATTCGAACAAGTCTTTTCAAAAAGGAACTACTTAGTTACTAAAGCAAACAACTAACATGAAATCATAAAACACCAAATGTTCATTTTTGTACTTATCGAAGTGATGAAAATAGCAGTAACAAAACGAAATTATTAAGCACTATAAAGTGATAAACAAAAATTCCAATCATCACCGTCTTGTTCATGATAAAAGTATATCTTAACCTTTTCTTCTGTTTCTATTTTATTTACTTTTATTCAGGAATTTGTATGGATAAGAAGTTTAACCTATATTTAAAACAATTAGTTGTAATTAATATTAACAATTGATATAAAATGCTATGGTTTAGCGAAAACATTTGAAAAGCATCTATTCTATGTAATTGGTGTAACTCTCATCATTTTGAATGAATCACTTGCTGAGTAGTACGAACAAATCTACATAGATAGTGAAAATAAATACATGAACTGACACCTATTAAATGAATGCATTTTTAAAGAATAAAATACATATCGACGAATAATAGAGTATTTCATGAAAATCAAAAACTGATTTTAAGAATGTTAGTGAATCTACAGAGTAATTATTAAGTTTTAAATACAGACTTACGTCAACTGAGTCTTCAGATATTGAATTGTTTCCAAAGTTTTGATAATAAATATCATTAGTGGCAAGATCTACATCAGAAAATAGGCGAACTGTTCGATTAAGCCTAAAATAAATAAAATGCTCATATTAACTAGTAAACTTTATTCATTCTGAACTTGAGCGATTGCTGTGTGATTAACTTTAAAGACGAATAACACTGAATAACCTGCATGAAACAAAATGTATTATGAATACACTTATCCAGGCTTCATGTATATTAATACCAAACAAAATGCTCTAATAAAACTGACGTTTAAGAACATATATTCTAAAGATGATTTCATTCATAAATAAGTTAGATGTATCGCTAAACATTTTACCCTGTCACTGACGTATATCTAGTCTAATACATGTCTTTTTTGTAGATAAATAAAACTGTAACGAACCATGGATTGTCAGGAAAGCATATCTTAACAGATATAAATAAGTGTTTCAATTTGTTTGTCTTTCGAACCTTTGATAAATGAATCTTTCGGAATTCTCATATATTCAGAGTACTACGTTTCACTGGATGGCGAAGTTGCTTGTCGAAAATACTTTGTAAGCCCTCCATATTATATAATTCCAATTAACATTCCCATAGTATTGCTAGACTGATAGATCGTTAGTTGAGTTTTAAATAACGCTAACAGTTTCTTCCTTGATAAAGTTTACGATCAGAAAACCAAAAGATCACTTAATAACATCTATAACTTACTTTTTTGAAATTATTAAACCATAACTTGGCCCATTCTTCACCGTATACAGTGTTTTTACATTTTTCTTGGGATCCCCGTTGCTACTAGTAATATATTTCTTGTGTGTATATGGTGCATCCATTCTAGTATACTTTCTGATAACTGTGTTGTATCGTATTCAGTATTTTTGCTTGTCGTGGAAAAACTGTCCTTATTTCTTGCTATGAATGGTTCATCATGTCTCACGGATATTCTTTGTTTAATAATGGGGTCAATTTTGAGTCTGTCAGGGATCGATAGTTCTTTGCCTCCAAAGCTAAATCCCAGTGCTTCAGTGTTAAAATCACAAATAAATAGAAAACAAATATATCTTTGTCAGGCTTCCGGAAAGTAAGATAAAGTTGCTTATAATTAGTTCAGTACGCTGGCTTGAAGTAGAAAATTAGAAATTTCATGTATTACCTTTATTCACTACAAATTACTTCACAACTGACTAAAGAATATATATGAAACATTTCCAGAAGTTTGTTTAACGTAAGAGGAACGCATGTTTCTTCAAAACTTTGTCTCTTGCATGGCCAGTACAGCCTTAAAATTACAAACTTACTTTTTACGTTAGAGAAATGGATATGATGGGATTATTGAATTTCTACCGAAAAAGTTAATCGCCTAGATGTTTTTATTTGTTTTGTCCAAAATGTTATTCTGAACTATTAGCCATGAAGAATCAATAAGTTGCATGACACTAAGGACTTAGGACCTCACGCATTAACAATAAAAGAAATTACTTAGAAACAAAGTATCGTACATAAGTCAATTTTATTTGTCAGAGTGAAATTCACAACCAGTACAGACCACCCTCTGAAAATAGAAATCAAATATTTCAAAATATCTGACAACAGAAATTATTTTAAGTTTTCATTATTGCTTGTCTGAAAAGCTATCATTCTGTTCATATATTATTCCAGAGGTATAACTAATTTAACTGTTATAGTATCGGTGTTGTGAGTTTTGAATTAAATCAGTAGTTGCTATTTAAGTATTCTCTAAAAGTGTATAATTAACTACGTTTATTTTATCATCGATGATCTCATCAAGACATAGTGTGATTACGATAGAGCTGTAATCCCCATTTTGAGCTTTAAAACGTTTTAAACATCTACTGTCACTTTATTCTAACATATTATTTACAATCAAAAACTAATTAATAAAAGCGATTGTGGGAAACAGTTGCACACTTGTTATCTTTTATCGAGACATTATTATTTTAAATGTATACGTTTCGTTTCATTCAATCTCATTACGATGTTCAGACCTACCTTTAAATCAACTAAACTTGAATATGAAGAGTGAATAATTGAAATTAATCAGCATTTATGGATGATAACAGAAGGTACAATAAAACAATATAACCTTGTTATTTACCTGAATTTTATAAGGCTAACAAATACTCAGCTTCGTCCTTAATCAGTCTGTTCGGATAACCTATTCGATAGGTTAAATTTTCATTTCTGTACACAATTACACTTCTTTTCAAAAATAACAATTTCCAAAATCAAATGTAATATTTTAATAGCAATACTGACATAAACTTCTAATATAAAGGTTTACTTATGACGATAGCCGAATAAATATCATAAACCTGACACCAATATACTAAAAAAATAACTTTAATTTTTATTTTAAAAATATACTTATCAAAATAAAATCGTTGCATGAGAAAAATCTGAATACCATTAAATAATAATTTTATCATTACTTTTACGTCTAAACCTTTTTGCATGATTAGAACACAGATAACTTGTCTTGATTCAATTTCTGTTTCATTATTTATTTGATCTGACATGTAGTCGTTCATTCCATATTGAAATTGATTGTTTAATAAGAAAACAGTAATACAGTCTTTAACTAATAAACTTTGTTTGTAATATGGTTGTATTGTGTTCAATCGATTTGTCAATGACTCGTATAATATTCTTCCAGAAAACAGATCAGCCAGTGTAAAATATTTAATAGGTGATATTTTAAAATTTGTAGTGCACAGATGAAGTATACCGTAACGAGGCTCCTAAAATAAAATTATTGCCGCAATCAGTAACAAGTACATCAAAGATATTCTGCTAATTTTCAGTCCACATTTAAACAAGGTATAGAAGTTACGATAATTTCTATTTCATAGGTATTAATTATTCAAATTAAACAAATGTATACGAAGTGAGCCGATAAAGTGTGACAGAACAAATCAATAATATGTATGTATTATCCCAAAATACTTAGATTCTATTCACTTATCAATCACGATCTTTTTTCAACATAAATAGTTACTAAGCAAACATGATATATAACAAGAATTCTTCTCCAATAATACATTGGATATTTTATTCAATAGGAAGTAAATTGTACACATATTGAGGATTGATTTTTTTCTTGGCATAATTACTTGTGATTAAACAATGTTTATCAGCCTAGAAAAAATCTCTCGATTTAGAGCTTGTTTGTTCACTGTTGATCATTTAAAAGATGGCAATTTATAATAATCTTAAAATCTCCAAACACCAAAGCATGGCAATGTAATATAATTTTTTAAAGTTTAACAGTTTATGATACGCCTTTTAAAGGCCAGATTTCGCACAAATACATAAAATCCCGGTATAGAGCAAGACTAAATTAAATGAATTTTCAGTGGTTGGACCGTGTTTGGCGAAGATTTTCATGAGTTAAAAACCGAAACGTTTCATCTACACACGGACTTCAGAAATGAGTTCTGGTGCAAAAATGTAATCTTTTCCTTCTAAAAAGCCAGACAAACATTTGTGATCGTGTTTTATTACGATGTATTAAATTTAAGATGACAGAAAGCCATAATACAGGACAGAATCGTAATTTTAATGGCTATCATGTATCTAATGCAAATTCAAAAAAGTCACCCGCTTTTTCCACCGCAGTAAACAAGATTGGTAGAAGTAAATAAACACGAAGACTATTCAGAGTTTTCTAGAGTTTGTAATTTCAGAGAGAGCATTACATCAGCAAACTAGATATGCTTATTATTACCAGCTTCGTATATAAGGTTTAGTGGTCTTCTATACAGAATCCTCACTTATTTTGTGATAGCAAGGTCGTTTTAATTATCATGAACTTGGTTGCTTAGTCTTGCTTTTCTAGGGCTAAAATGGGAGAACATAATCATTTTATGTAGGATAAATGAACTGTTTTACATAACTTTTACTGGAATATATGTATACATAAACCATGATTAAAACAGTTTTATGGAGTTTCATTTAATAACTCACATTTCGCTTAACGTAGATATAATAAACCTTTATCTTAATATAAATGTGTGAAAGAGTTCATGTACACACCTACCTGATTTACAATAATTGGGATTTGTGAAAAACTTCGTGTATTATTATTGTTTAGAAAAAAATTTGGTTGCACGACTACACTCTTGCCGGTTTCAACAGTTAATTCGTCACTAGTAAATTTAACATCATTTGCTTCATTAATATTTCCATCATTCCATAATTTAAGTTCATTCAGTAAAATAGATAACCTAACTTCTTGCTGTAATATATGGCCAGAGAATGTAGTACTGAAAAATAGATAAACTTCGTCCGATCGTAATGTAACGGAATCATCTTTCTTATCGTTTTTATTACTTGAATACAATAATTTACAGTAAAGACTACGTTCAGCATTCTTAAATGATGTTATATTTTGATATTTGGACTGGCTCCATGATCTAATGTATTTATAATAAAGTGGAAATTGTAGTAAATCATTATATGTCCAGTTTGCCGACTGATCAGTTAGACCAAACAACACCAATTTTCCAAAGCATCCAGAGCGAATTACATCAATTTGAATATGGTTTGGATCAAGATGAACATTCGTGATAACCTTTATGAAAAAGCAAATTACTTGGAAATTTACTTCCTAACTTATTATTTTCAATATTGCTGAAAAAATAACTACGGTTAATTATACGAATCCACCAACGTACAATCATTTTAAACACCTAACAATGATTCTTAAACTATATGAAAGAGAAATAAAATTTGAACTAAAAAAATTCTAATGAATTCAAAGACATCATCACTACTATCAGCATGGAAAGAGATGATTTAATGACAAGTTATGGTTTTTGCTCTTCGTTCACAAATGTTCCTGTTAGGATGGCTCTAGAAATTGCATACAGTCTCTTAGGTTCTGACGTTGAAGTAAAGCAACGATGCTCATCAGGTCCTTCATACATTCCAAAACTCTGAATCTAGGCTTTCATTCCACCTTTTCCGATTTTCAAGGGAACTCACCAGTTTCTCCAACTGTTGCTAACTTATTTATGAATTTAAATGGAAACAGGTGCAATTCTAAAATGTTCCTACCCACCAAATATCTGGTTAAGGTACGCAGACGACATATTTTTCATCATCAAACGAGATAGATCAGATGGGTTTGTAAAAATTTTCAACAGTATGTCTGACAGAATCATATTCACAGAAGAGATGGAATCCGTCGACCATGAATTACCTTCTCTGGGCTGTTTGGTTGAAAGTGATTGTTCACAAATTAATATATTCTGAAAGCCAACATATTCTGGTAAATGTTTAGATTTCAAGTTAGCACATCCCCAACCTACCAAAGTGACAGTGGCTCAGAATTTAATAAACAGAGTTCATAACATCGTCACTGAACCGGAAAGAACAAAGAAACTGAAGTGAATTTAGTTATGTTCACTCTGATGACGTGTAATTATGCCAGGGATTCTACAAATAGAATAATTAAGAAAGATCAAAATGATAAGAAAAGATACAAACCAAAAGAATGTGTTAACACGGTATTAATCCTATACTTTAAAGGAATTTTAGAAGACATCAGAAGCATCCTAAATCTTTGAACTTCAAAAGTATTCGATCGGACAAAAAATGCTCTAAGCTCTAAACTGGTAAGAATCAAAGATTCAGTCTGAAAGGAAAAACAACAGAATTGTTAATACGAGATCAATCGTAGTGGTTGTAATGTAGTATATGCAGGTATGATATCACAATAACTGAATGTGAGGGTGAAAGAACACAAACCTTGTTTGAAACACATTCATAAATCCTCAGATGAGCCGAAAAACACTAGGAAGCAAGTCAACGTTAGCATTACTCAATAGAGTCGGGTCATGCAATTGATTTCAATGGCACAAGAATCATTTAAAAAGTCCTTACAAAATAGACTAACAACTGAAGCCGTACACATATGTGCAAATTCAAACGGTATTAATAGGAGACATGCAATACAGTTAGCTGTCCCACGGCGACTAACAATTAATGAGTAAACCTGAACACCTTATTTCATTTATTCTATTACTTATTATCTAAACAACGATTATTTTCAACTGTTCGGATCAGCTGGTTTATCTGAATTTACGATGAACAATAAGCTTGATCAACACAATAACACAAACATTTACCGTCTTTTTGTTTATTTATCCTAATTTTATACATGCTGTGACCCGTTCGACTTATGTCGTCTATTAAATTATCTTTTTCAGAGGTGATAACTGGTCAATGAGTAAGTATGGTAATTTATTGATAATTGCTTATAAAGTTAGAGAAAATTCAGTCGATCGTATGCAACGTAAAACCTCGCACATATGCGCTTCGGTTAAAGTTACAGCACCACATTAACACACAGTAAAATCAAGAAAAGCATCAGTAGTAGTAGTAGAAGGAAAGATTAGACATAGAAGACATGATTCTAGAATGACGAATGAGTTCTTGGGAAGAAAATCTATAAGATAACATCAAAACAAACTATGAATACATGCGCAACGTTGCTAGCAATCCACAGTAATGTCATCCAAAATCCCCACCCACTAGTTACAATAATCACGTAGAGCCATACAAGTAGTCTGTACCATCTACACATCCAAGACCCACAGACTGGACTGATGCCATATTTCAGTTTGATCACTACTAGCTTGCTTCCAATCTATTCCTAAACCTGGCATAAACATCCGTCCAGTTAATAGGTGGACTGGCACATATAACGCATGTTCTAACCACACTGGTCGGTGAAGATTCATATCGTCACCAATCACTTTGTCATCTTTGCCTAGTACTCTGAATCTAACTTCAATATTTCTTGCCAGATAGTCCTGACATGCACTATCAATGCTTCGAAGATATCTATGGTCAAATACCAATAACCTATATATATATTCTCAGGTTATGCTCTACACCATAAAATAAAACAAAGAGGATGGACACTAAGTGATGTAATTTGGTAAAAGTCAACCGAGGTTTCTAAACCTGTCGAACACTAACCTACTAGAACTGATGAGACTTACAGGAAGCTATATGAATTACGAAAGTTGTTAAACGATATTGTGAACTGGTGAATAATTTGCAACGTTCATGTAAACCACATTTCAGAAAACATGCAATTCAAAAGTTGTAAAAGTATTTGGCAACTCAGTCTTACAAGAAATAACGTATCAGAGCCAGATTAACGAAACTTTTAAACTTTATTACTCAACTTTTATTGAAGTTATTCTGATTTACTGACTTACTAGGTGTAGTACTTCATTTAAACAAAATGATGTCCAAACATTTTTTAAGAATATATACATATATAAACTTATTAGTTATCTTATGCATTGATAAAGCTATAAAATTTAACAATATTTCAGATGAAATGCCTTAGAATCAAAGTACTACGTTAAAGATGTTGATTTTTTTAATACTTAAAATTAGTATCGGTGACAAACTTCGGCTTACATAATATAGTCCTTAAAAGCCAATGTAAACAAATGGTTATTCAGTATTTAATTATGATGCATATATAATCTTTTAATATTCTATGCACGTTAAAAAGTAAAGGACTAGAAAATTATTTCGTAAGATGTATCATATACTTCCAACGTAACGTTCATTATTTGTACACAACTTCACTTTGTAGTGTTATTTTTTCAGACTAGTCGTCAAAATATTATACCTTGCACAATCTTTTCTGATATATATCGTATTTATTCATTCAGTAATTTTTATTCTTCGTGTAAAATATCGAATATATGATAAAATTTTTGAATTATCTTTAGTCTTTTTCACTAAATTTTGACGATCTCAATAGTTTCATTTGTAGTATATGTCTCCAGCCTTTAGATTTTACATTACATTGGAATCTGTCAATTATAAATCTCACAAAGATTGACTGAATGATAAATTTAGGTTCACAATATAAAATGTCATATATGTTCATGAATATGAGGAATTATATGATGAAATGATTTTCTCATATTATGCCGATACAATTTATTGTGATACAATATGTACAGAATTCAACTCCAGTCTAAAAACTGAAAATTTGTAACTTAGCTATCATAAACTGTAATCAAAGGTGTATAAGCATATTGAAAACCTGTATTTCAGATATTTTCTGCATTCTTAAGACCTTTTTCAAAAAATGCATTTATAGGAAAAACAAAATAGAAGCTATTTGAAAAACTGTTTTGCAAGAAAATGCTTGAAATGTAATGAAATTTATTCTCTGTAAATTTCTTTACAACAATGTACTATGTTTGATTTTCAATGATTTTATAATGAATGAAAATATTGTAAGTTATAAGCGGTTTATTGTTTTTATGATTAGTCGTACTAACTTATCAAAAAGTAACACTAAATGAAATTATGTCAAAACACGCAAATTTATAAGCAATATATAGTGAAATCACAATTTTTTCTTTGCATGTTTGCCAAGGAAACATAAATTGTTTTCATTTTTCGGATATTTATGCACAAGAGCATTATTTCTTTTGATCAATTATCTTTAGAACGTCAAACCGACCCAAAATGTATGTTTCCAGAATGAAAAGATTTATGTTTGAGCCGTGTGTGCACAAATATACTACTGCATATCATAGTGAACTCAAGCTTCAAAAGTCACGGTACGTGCGTAGTTACGGGTATTACCAGTTGCAAATAGCTAAAGGTTTTTGCATTTAAAAACTGTATATATCAGTTGTCATGTAATTTTAAAGCTAAGAGACACTAAACCTAAATTTAACATTCGAGTATATCAACTCTCCGATGTATCAGCGCAAATATACTCAACAGATAAGTGAAAGACAAGCTTCTTACAGAGTTAACTGTAATAATGGCAAAACGGAGTAATGTACTTTAAATAATTTCATATCTAATTAATAGATAGAGAACCATTCTTCACTATAAAATCATCTATATCCATCTACAAACCGAATCGATTAATGATCGCGGATAGATTAAAATCTAAAGTAAGATGGAAATTATTAGAACAAATCAAGTCAAAAGAAGGCTAAAATACATTATTTTGTTAGTGAAGAAAAATGCTCAAACAACTACATATGATCATATGACAGATCCTGAATGTTTAATTAACTTCAGAAGTCTCCAAATCTGCCATGAAACAGCAGCTAACTACAGATTGGATGTATAAATATCATTACTAAACATTGAGAAAAAAACACATTTGATAAACTAGGTATGGTACCATGAATCAGTTGCCTTTTTTGGAACTTATTGCTTCGCGCTCATATGCTTCCCATCTAAAACTTATTTCTGAGTTTCACAACCTACTTATAAAAAACGATAATAAACCACAACTATAACATTTAAATATTCAATTAACTTGAGGCAGAGGTGTAGTAAAATATTTACCGGAAGTTAAGTAATATGAGAATGACGGATTACTAACAGCCCAGTTGTCTAAAACGAGAATAGGCATTTAATAATCCATCCACAAAAGTTGAATACAAAAGCGATAAATGTAACCTGTTACTTTTTTCTCTCTGTAACGATATGAAATTCGATAACCTGTACCAAAACACTTTTGAGCTAGGTCTTGTATTTCTTAAAGATGACTGGTACAAATAATGT